TCTCCTTTGCCGGGTGTTGGACAAGATGATCTCCAGAGGTCCCTTCCAACCCTAACTATTCAGTGATTCTAGGAACCACCAGTTAGAACACCAGCTTTCTTTCTAATTGTGTACTGGGTCATGAACATTTCTTGGTACTTCATGCCAAATTTATGGGGTGAGAAAAAAACTCCACTAACATCCTACAAATCGAGGTCATTGAGAGCAGGTCAAGCCTCTGCCACTACCGGTTCTGGCAACACTTCGTGACTTCTGATGCTGGTCTGAAACCTATCCACACAGGCTGCATGGACAAAAGCATATGAAAATTCTTTGAGCTTATACAAAGCCCTGAAACTTTCATTACTATTGTTTCATGCACCTGAAATTTTCAGCCAAGGCAGTAAGTAGTACTCCAAACTACATCAACTAAAGCTTTTTATGGTCCTAAACTGTTCAGAAGTCCCTTTCAAACTCAATTATTTTCCAAATATCAAATATCAGTATTTATGCATTAAAGCATTAGCTTGACTGATTACAGAGGCTACATTTCTTTAACTAACAGAACTATTAGGGTTGGAAGTGACCTCCGGAGATGATCTAGTCCAACCGACCTGCCAAGGCAGGGTCACCTGGCTATGGACCTGGCAACTTTAACAGTGTAAAGCTCATCCTTCCACAGCCAGTTTTACTGTACGCAGACACTGTCTCCATTTGGGCAAATTGCTTTTCAGCAGCCTCGGTGTTCAAGCACGGCCCCTGTGCAAACACGGAGACATCTCCCGCGCCAGAGCCTCCTCTCTGCAAGTTCGTGGTGTCCAGAGCACCGACTTGGTGCCTGCTCTTCCCTGAGCACCGTGACTCTCTTCGCCCCGCCTCAGGGGCCGCCGCTCCGCCCGGCCCGGCTCCCCGGACGCACCTGCTCCAGGGTGAGCCGCAGGAATTCCTCCGAGAGCAGCTCCGGGTGCAGCAGCAACAGCTCCGACTCCGAGCCCCCAGATCCCCGCTCCTCCTCTCCACTGCCACCGCCTGCCCGGCCTTTTCCCTGCGCCGCCATCTTCTTCCCCCGGCGGCCCCTTCCCGGACTCCCACAATCCCGCGCGCGGAGGAAAACGCGTTTCCAGAGCAGCCGCGCGCCGCGGTGGCGTCACGGCTGGAGCGAGCCCGAACGGGGCGAGGGGAGTGCGGCAGAGGGGCCGAGACAGCGGGGCTGGAACGGGGCAGGGGGTGTGCCCTGCCACGGTGGCACCGCTCCGTGGGGCAGCCGAGTCAGGCGAAACACACAGAATCCCACAGAATCACGGAATGTTCTGATTTGGAAGAGGCCCACAACGGTCATCGAAGCCCAGCTTCTGGCCCTACACAGGACAGCCCCAAGTATTACACCCCATGTCTTAGAGTGTTTTCCAAGTGCTTGAACTGTGTCAGGCTTGGTGCTGTGACCACTTCCCTGGGGAGCCTGTTCAGTGCCTGACCACCCTCTGGTGAAGAACTTTTTTCTGATATCCAACTTAAGCCTCCCCTGGTATGGCTTCAGGCCATTCCCTTGGGTCCTGTCACTGGTCACCAGAGAGAAGAGATCAGTGCCTGTCTCTCATGAGGAACCTGTAGAACCTTGATAAGGTCTTTTCTCAGTCTCCTCCTCTCCAGGCTGAACAGACCAAGTGACCTCAGCCGCTCCTCACATGGCTTCCCCTCAAGGCCCTTCACCCTCGTGTCCCCACTTTGGATGCTTTCCAATAGTTTTATGTCTTTTTTTCTACTGTGGCACCCAAAACTGCCCCCAGCACTGGAGGTGAGGCTGCCCCAGCTCAGAGCGGAGCAGGACAATCCCCTCCCTTGCCCAGCTGGCCATGCTGTGCCTGATGCCCCCCAGGACAGGGTTGGCTCTCCTGGCTCCCAGGGCACTGCTGGCTCATGCTCAACTTGCCATTGACCCCTGGGTCCCTTTCCATGGCACTGCTTTCCAGCCTCCTGTTCCCCAGTCTCTCCATACATCCAGGGTTCTCCAATCCCAGGTGCATAATTGAGCACTCACCCTTGTTAAATGTCATATAGCTGGTGATTGCACAGCTATAATTTGTCTGGGTTTCTCTGCAAGGCCTCTCTGCCCTTGAGGGAGTTTGGTGTTGCTGATAAGGTGAGGTCACCCCCCAGCTGATAGCATGGAACCCGGAGAACATCTGTTTTATTGTCATTCTGTCAGCACACAAGAGTATGAATGCTTTGTGCTTCTGCATGCCGGAACTTGCTATGGAATGAAAAACGATCTCCATCCTGCCCATAATTGCGACACTCACTGGTTAAAGCTGCTTGATAGGCAACAACAAAAGTTGCCTTGTAATTCCGAAGTACAATAGCTTTGGATTCTGTCACCTGCTTACATGTTTTAAAGCAGAATAGAGAGTTACAAATGGTTACATGTGTAAATAACCATGTAGTTTTTACAACATAAAATTACAAGGTAATTTGAAGTACTTGATGCATTTTACAGAATTGCAAGGCACAGGCAACAATGTAACACAATAAAAGTACATCCACGTGGAAGGAGTTGAAGATACATTACTATGTATGTCACTTTAGAACCTACAACTATACAGCACTTCAAAAAGCATAAATTCAAATTTTCAATATTTAAAAATCATTTAAGTATACAAGTAGTAACATTATATCATATGGCTTCCTCAAAAGTGTCTTCTGGCAGTATATACAATTTGTTCCCTTGTGCTTTTTCTCTCCAGGGAAGCTGCTTCCGAGGGGAAGCACGGGCTGCATGCCAGGGCTGCCCAAAGCCCAGCTTTATAGTACTGTGCCCAGCAGGCACACAGCTATAGACTAGTTCTATTTTCATTTTCTCATTCATTTCTCACTTCAGCCAATTATGACACAAAGACAGCTGAACTCAAGTAATCTTGCAAATGAATATAGCTTTTAGGGTGAATGTTCAGCCTGGATTTTGGTGCTTATTTCAATGAATGAAATTACTTTCTTGTAAATTACATGGATCATCTCTCTCTTCCTAAAGTACCTTGTAAGTTCTGCCTCACAGAAACATATCCTTGCTAACTGAATTAGTTGTGCTGATCAAGATTTCATCCCTGTGATTATCCTGTGTTAGTATTTACTTTGTTGGCATTTGTACCTAAAATTATAGTTCCTCTCTGATTAACCAAAGCATATCCTCTCACAATAAAATTCTGAAAGAGATTAAATGCAAACAGTCTGATAAAAATATGTTTATTTTCAAATTGCTGTAAAAATATAATTTTAATGAGCTATATTGTTTTCATAGATTTGTTGAATGATCCTATTGCATTTCATAGTAGAGGTTTTTTTGGTTGGTTTTTTTTTTTTTTGTTTGTTTGTTTGTTTTTTTTTTGTTTTTTTGTTTTTTTTTTTTTTTTGTTTGTTTGTTTGTTTTTTTTTTGTTTTTTTGTTTTTTTTTTTTTTTGTTAATGCAATAGGGTAATTTTAAATAAATGATACCAGGTACCTTTTTCTCTTTTTAGGATTTTTTACAATTAGAAAAAAAAAATGCTTTACATCACTTCTGATACCTTGCTCTTTACTTTGTTCATTAGCTGTATGTGTTGTCCCAAAATAGTTTCTTTCACCCAGTGAGCAAGAGGCCAATCCACACAGAGAATTGAGATATTTGATTATTTGCAATTCTGTGCAGAAAGATGTGTTGGGCAGCCAATCCACAAAGCCAGCATGATGACCATCAAATCTTACCACTTACGTACTTTAACGAACAAAGGCATTAATGTTCATTGGCTACAAATGACATAGTTCTTTCATTAATTATTCTTTTATTGGTCAATGATTTCCTCACTTCTCATGCTGATTAGCCTGCACAGTCTCCCTCTTCTCTTGAGCCAGTGGGTTTCTTGGGCCGTAAGTCAGTGACCAGAGCTCCCCCCCTGCCTGAATTACTTTTTACCCAGTTGGAGCTGATTCCAGTGGAGTTGATGAGCAGGCTTTGTTAGTTTCTTCCTTATCTTTGGAATTCTGCCAAATGTATTTGTGGCCCACAAAGTCTGCATTCTTTATGTCCACTATCAGGAGCACACCCTTCTAACCAAGCTGTGTTAACCTCCTCCTAGGTCACTGAGGCATGTCAAGCCTTAAACTTTAACAAGGCAATTCTACCCATAAGTAATTTATCTTTTTAACATTTAATAGTTGGGAAATTTATAATATATTTATATTTATATAAATAATAGTAGTGGTATAAGTCTCTTATAATATATGAGACTTAGACAATATAAAAATACTATAAGAGATGAGACTTATACTATTACTATTATTATTAAGTTAAATTTGAATGAGGGCACTTTCTGAGAACCTGAGAAAAGCGTCTCCCATATATATATATATATATATATATATATATATGTTTAAACTTTAACAAGGCAATTCTACCCATAAGTAATTTATCTTTTTAACATTTAATAGTTGGGAAATTTATAATATATTTATATTTATATAAATAATAGTAGTGGTATAAGTCTCTTATAATATATGAGACTTAGACAATATAAAAATACTATAAGAGATGAGACTTATACTATTACTATTATTATTAAGTTAAATTTGAATGAGGGCACTTTCTGAGAACCTGAGAAAAGCGTCTCCCATATATATATATATATATATATATATATATATGTATGTATATATATCCCAAGGCTTTGGACTCTCTTATGTATCTATTTTAAATAGATATACAAATAAATGTATACATATAAACATAAATATTAGAATATATTGAGATAGATATAAATATATGTGTAAAACAGATGTATCGGTCTCTTCTCTCGGCCGCGAGAGAAGAGCTCCCCGAGGCGCACTGGGGCGCATTCCCGGCCGGTGCATCCCGGCTTTCCCGCACGTGACCGGACGCGGCCTCCCGCCGCTGCCCGTGCCCGGTGACGCGGGCCGGGGCGGGGCCGGCGCCGCACCGGAAGCGGCGCGTCCCCCCCGCCCGCCGCCGGCGG